TACACTTGTGCTACTACTCGAGAAAAGAGGTTACGCGGAAGTCTGTGGTTCGCGCGGCACGGATCGTCAAGAGCGGATCCGGCGGAACTGGTCCTCCCCGACTAATCAGACCCAAAGATTCGAGGACCGTGGCAGCACAACGTCGCCTACGGCCTAGACTGAGCCCGGGGACTTCGATCCCCTACTTTGTTGTCAACCTAGCGGGCCCCATAATTGCTTTATCGTCAGTCGAGATGATGATCAGGCGGAACCACTTAGTTACCGACGGCGTCTTCGAGTCTACGGGCCAGATGATAGCGCTCATGGCGGGAACGAGCAGTTTGTGCACGGCTATTTGGCAACTAATGTCACCCATATCAACGCGCAGTCTGGTGTCTCGTCTAGTGCACGATTCAGCCATCTCTTTAAGCGCGGATGATTGGAGACGCATTTCCAGCCAAATCTCCGACCTGATCTCAGAGGCGCATGAGGTCGATCAAGACCGGAAGTTAATCCGCGTCGGGCATTGAGCTAGCTCAGAAGTACTGGCATGACTATGGCACGAAATAAGCATCCAGATGATGCTCTGATGGGCAGATGGTCAGAGCCATCACGCTGTATGACCGTTGTCAGGTGAATTGCCCGAACTTTCTCGCAGAGAGGGGCAAGTCCTCTACGCACTATCCGCTGAAACAACAAAAGACTCTTGAGGGCTTTTCTGATTCTCGATTAGTCCACGATGGAACAGATTATTGTTTTCGCTCTGCAAGAAATAGTCCCGTAGGACAAGAGAAACCGGTAGTCGCAGTGACACAGAGGTCAGACTCTGATACGAGATGGGGATTCGATCCATTTATGAGCCTTTCAAACGTCTAGAGAAAGCCCAGTCAATCCGAGACTCGCAGAAAGGTTCTTTGGTAAGATGCATAGAAACACAAAGCGTCTCTTCGAATATGTCTTTGTCAGAAAGCTAAATGGTGCAAAATATGCTACAATGTTGTAACGTTAATGGAACTCACGGGCTGACGGGAAAGGCGGGGGTCGCATTTATGGATCCCCTCGGACGCAACGGAGGTTTGCCAGCGCATCGAAGATCGACCGACTATGACTAAAGAAATACCACAACACAGACAATTAAAGACATATAGCAGAGAGGTCGTTGCTCTGAGTACACGTGTATTAAGAAGTACGAAGAAACTTTGATGAAATGCGAACATTTCGCAAACTCGTTGGCACCGACTTGCATCCTAACGGCTTGGTAGAAACTTGTCACCAATAGCCAAGTTCTCGTCTATACGCGTCACATAGGGGCTAAAAGAAGTTCAACTGCGATCACCCTATTAACGTTGTTTTTGAATTCATACGTGGAACTCAAGCCTGCCAGAGGGTTGAGAGACAGCGGATGTATTTCAACTCAAAGAGCGCTCTTTTCTACACACACTAGTTGAGAAGAACAGAAAGAAAAACCCGAGATGCTCGTAGACTTCGGTAAAAGTTATAAACGGCCCGAAAGACGGGCCATGGCCTTCGCGGCTGTGTCTCGGCGTCGCCGACCCCGCGCGCGGGAACCCCGTACCGGGAATGAACTTTAAACTTTGCCTCCCGTAGCAACTGCGGAGTGGACGGGTCTTATTTTAGCCAAGCAGCGCAACGCATTCTGTGTACTTCAGATTAGCCCTACTTGCGAATCATACACAACAAATTAGGGATCAGCACTCTGAGCAAGCTTTGAAACAAGGAGCTTTCCGTGCCGGCAGCCACGGGGTCTTTTCTCCCCTTTTCTCAATGGAATTTTATAGTGTGCGATTCGCGAAACTTCATCCTGAGCAAGACTTTCAGTGAAGTCGCTTTCGGGTATTGAACGTCTCGTTTTCTGAAGATGCCCTCGTCCGCAACTCAGCAAGTGCCAAGACCTGTGCTTGAGTTACAGCGAGTACAGTTGGTCGATGTGAGGCATAGCTTTGTAAGGTATAACAGGGATCATGTTAGCTCGTTATTGCCGACGGGTGTGCTTTGCGATGTAAATGCCTGCCCTGACTCAACCATGGAAACCCTACACCCAGCGACGTGCTACGCGCATTTTCTCCTTTTTCAGGGGATCTAGCACAGCTACTCAGGCCTGTCACTTGCGATCACCACCTGAACCAATGGGTAGCAGTAGTCGATCCTTGTGCGGATCGCCCGGTGCAGAGTAGACTTTGGCAATTAATGAAGTTGAGTTTACAAATTTGCGCGCCAAGACATTCGCATTCTCATACTCTTCGATTGTGTGATTGAGGGAATTGTACGTATAGCGACGGACTTTAAGTCCACTTCCGTGGCTTCTGTAGAATTCAGTATGTTTGTTTGTATAAAACTTGTCCAGTCTTCGCAAACCAGGGACAACGTAGCAAGAATCGAAAATCACTTTCGTCTGCGTCTATGGCTAGTCGCGTCGGATTGTGACTTTTACAGTTTCACGAATGTCCAATATGTCGCGTTCATCTTCGACACTTCACGACCGCCAGTATGGCGTCGAGCTGGGCCTTGGACCGCACGCCAGCTCGGAAGAGACGCTTGCGCCCAAAGGTGTTCATCCTCGATCGTGGGGACACGCTCGAAAGACATGGGACACGAGCTTGGTTGTGTTCCTCGAATTCTTCACGTAAGAGACCTTTCGCTCGGTTCAAATTTCTGGTGCTAACTTCATTAGGACAATGGTTAGCACCGCAGGAGTAAGTCTCGCTGATATCGGATGGGATGGTAGAATGATTGCTGACCTGTTCGAAAGACGCCTGTCGCTGCGCACCTTCATCATGAACTTGGTGTCAGTCCTGTTGTAGCAACCTGCATGTTTGTCTCAACGTAAGTATCGACTATGGCAGTACGCATAGACAGATTTACTAATGCAGAAGAAAAGATATCTCATCGGCCAAACCATCGGCGGAGCGGTCTTTCCCCCTTTCTCCGAGTCTTTCGGCCGCAAGAAGCTCTACGTCATCAGCACCATCTTCTACAGCTTGTTCTGCATCCTGATCGGAAAGGTTCCTACAATTGCTGGGATCGTTGTCGGCCGTTTCGGCAGCGGGTTTCTTTCTGCCATCCCGACGGTGATTGCGACTGGAAGTATCGAGGACTTGTGGGATACACGCGCACGAGTGTGGTGGATGTTTTGGTGGGCGTTGTTGGCCAACCTGGGTATCCTGGCGGGACCTGTCTTTGGAGAGTTGATCACAGCGCAGGCTGCTTGGTAGGTTGCCGTTTTCTCTAGACTTTGGGTGTTTGGGCTGACCTTCTAATCAGGCAATGGGTGTTCTATGCTGCGGCAATCGTGACAGCTGTCGTGGCGATTCTGTTTTGCACCATCAAAGAGTCACGGCCGTCGGTTGTGCTGGGCCACGCGATGGCTAAGGATGATGCCGAAAGCAAGAGCAGCAAGTGGCACATCCCGCTGAGCTACGAAAAGTTCGACATCGTCCGACCTCTGCGTCTCCTGTTCACCGAGCCAATCGTGTTCTTGGTGGCTTTCATCAGCGCCATCGCGTTTGGGCTCATCTACCTTTTCACAGAGGTGTTGCCAATGGTCTACGAAGAATTAGGTTTCACCGACGGCTGGAAGAACATACCCTTCCTTGCCCTTGTAGTCGGTATGCTTCTCAGCGTACTGACCAGATTCTACGATCGCCACGTTCTGGCGAACGCGAAGCTGCCCGTCTCCCCTGAGTCGAAGTTTACCGGATATCTCATCGGAGCTCCGGCATTAGCCATCGGACTCTGGTGGTTCGCGTGGACGATCCCTCCGTACGCGTCTATCCACTGGATAGTCCCGACCCTAGCCCTCGTTCCTGTTGGGTATGCGGTCAACGAGTTTGACCACGTCTTGGCCGGGTATCTATCCGACTGCTACGAAACGTACACGGCTAGTAGCTTTGCAGCGTTGGCGCTCACTCGCTCTCTGTTCTGCGCATCATTTCCGCTTTTCGGCCGGATTCTGTTCGATGCCCTCGACTTCAATAGAGCATCATCATTGTTTGCCGCGTTGGCCACAGGTCTTTGCATTGTACCACCAATGTTGGTACGGTATGGCGCTTGGCTGAGAGGACGGAGCAAGTACGCACATAAGTGATTTTGCATTCATGGAGTTGGGTTGCATAGCGAGTGGCAAATCAAAAGTTAGTTGTTTTTCAATGTGAAGTTGGCAAATGCCCCGAGTATCGTTGCTGCAACGTGCCAAGTGACCAGACTAATGCGATGTCTGCTCAATCCCTTCTGCAGAACCCATGACCTCTTGACAGACATCGCAGCCACTCTCGGGGCTCCGGGGCGGTTTTCATCACAAAACACAGTTACGCACCCTCTTGAAGTCGACGTTATGAGCTTCATTGACCTTGTTTCAATACCTGCATTCAATGCCTGCATTGATGAGTCTTGGTCGGGACTGAGATATTATACCACCACCTGCTCCGGACCCCTGGGTACGTATACTGCGAAGTTACTGGGCTGTGCACTGACCGAGGTGCTTTTACTGCTTTCTCCCCTACTGTGAAAACCTCTACTGGGTGGGCTCGAAAGTTCCTCAACATACCACCACCTGCTAGGAACTTCATGATCTCACATACATGATACAATAACATCATAATAGGAGAAAACGAAGACACGATTCTAACGCTGTGTACACCCTGCGTCCCACACTCGTCCAAACTCAGCCAAGTTGAAAAGTCTGTCAAGGGCTACTTCTGACAGGCCTCCATCCTAATTGTTGCAGCAAGCAAAGTTGAACCTACTCATTGGTTTGCTATATGACATGGACTGAGCTGCATTCCTTGCAGTAGGGCGAGGGTGCTCATCAATCGTCGTGATCGCTTTCGAAGCAACCATGTGAGATCTTGGGATGTGCTCGGACAGTTCAACTCTTAATGCGTAGAACTTCTGATCATTGATGTTCCTCAGTACAATGTGGCAATGAAATGACAACACTGGGTCTTGGTGTATTAATACTATGCTAGAACGGGTATCTTTAAATAATGCTCTCAATCGCTTGTTCAAATCTTATCGCGGCAGTAACCCGTGGAAGCACCAGCAGCAACACATGACTACGCTTAAATTAGCCATTGTTTTCAAGATCACATTCATTGCATTGGAACCGACTCACCTTTGTCCAGTCACAGTTGTTGATAGCCTTGGATGGAATGAGGGCGAACCAGTTCTTCTTGTATCGGTAGCACTCTTTGAAATTTTGGCCATAGTAGCCGACCTCTCCGGAGTTGTCTGCGCACGCCTTGACTGTGTCATCGTCCCATGGAACGTTGTCCTGAACCTTCCCTTGGTACTCAAAGTTGTCTCTCTCACACCTATGTTGCGAAGTTAGTCATGCGCATTGACTAATTAGTGATGGGGTGAGATGTACCAGCATTCCTTGTACTTGGCGCATGCTTCTGTTGAAGCGACGGCGAGCGCTGCAACGGCAAAAAGGGCTGAGAGCTTCATGATGATCGGTTTGAGTGGCAGATTCTCGAGTTCGTTGAGCGCCCGGTTCACTTCAATCTGGCAGGCGCATTGGTGTTAAATATGGACTTCGGACTTCTGGAAGACGGCATCCGAGTGCGAGTCAGCATCACCATCACCTGTGCTGGCTTTAAATTGCATAGCATCCCTTAGTGGGGGTACGAATGACTCGATATTAATTGACGTCTAAAATATGGCTATTCGGGGCGTAGATCCCCTTAATAAATGGATCCTCATGCATCATAGTCTCGGGAGTAACGGGAGAAGTTGTCGAACCGATCACCGAGTGATAAGAGCAGCGGTAAGCCCACGTGGTCGCGCAGAGGTGGTGTGAGTCCGTGGCATGCCTCATCCACGTTCAAATCGCGTCCTTGCCAGAGATTATCATTTGAATCATCGCCGTCATTTCAGTTGTACCATTCCAGGATATCACGCTCTTCGAAACTTCTCGAATCCACGCTTGATCCAAGTTCCTCGCCCGTTAGCGGCCTCGAAGCCGCAAGTATCTCTGCCCATTTGACATTCCTCTGCTCAGGTCCGCCGTAAAATTTGGTGAGATCCGGCTTGATGACCTTGACTGCGCTGGTCTCCACAAAGTTGTCTGTCGATTGCCGGAATTTGCTCAATCCTTCCTCCGCACTCGAAGGGTAGAAGGGACCTTCGTTGGGGATGTACTGGTACTGCATGCACTCATTAAAGTGAACTTGCGGTATAGAAGCGAAGAAGGCGTCCTGATCGGAAGATAGGGCTTCAGTGAGCGTCGTGATTTGGGAAGAATTGGGTGGTTGCAGGACGGTCCAGGGGTCGCGACAGGTTCTCTGGGTGCAGGACTTGGTGACCAGGAGGATCGCATTGAGGCGGGTGAGCAGTCGCTGATGTGAGGTGTCAGTGGAGTTTATCAGATTGACGAGTTCGTAAGGGTCATCCTATCTCGAGTCAGCTCCTGAATAAGCTTGATCCTGGTATAGCCGTTGCCTGCCTGGGTGTTGTAAAGCTCCATTTCGTTGGTGCACCACTTGACAAATAACCACGAGAACTCATTCCCAACCAACCGCAGAGTCTTGTAGCTGTTGTTTAGAATCGTTCCAACTTCAGACGCAGCGGGCGCCTCAATGATTCTGGAGCCCCAGAACTCCACGTTCAGCAACTCCCTGCCACCTTCTTGGTTCTGGCTCTCGTAGCCTGAGTCAGGCTGAAGCCATTGGTCAAAGAGACTGCGACCATCGAGAAATGGAGGAAAGTCTTCGGGTTTGACTCCAGCAATTTCAAGAAATGTTGGAGCGAGATCGACATGTGATCCGGGGAGAGAAGATTTGACGCCGCTGGGCACGCCAGGGCCGCGGACAACAAATGGGAGGTTCGTGTCGTCTGCGTACGGGGTGGCTTTACCGGCTGCGACACGGTTGGCCCCGATCGTCCAGCCGTTGTCTGTGGTGTAGATGACTGTCACCTCCGTTAGAACTTTATCTTCCAGCCTTTTTGCGGAAACTTACTGTAGGTGTTTTCAATGATTTGCTTGTCCTCCAGCAGCTGCACGACATCTTCAATAATCTCGTCCACTCCCTGAAGTGACTCGATTCTCTGGCGGAAGAGCCAATCACCTTGCGCTATTTCTGTCTCGTTCAATTGGCGTAATTTCTTCATCCAATTGGACTTTTGCATTTGAAGTTCATCTGGGGGGTTCCAGTTGGGAGGTTTTGGAGAAGTGACGTTTGGAAAGAGACCCTTGTGTCGAAGAAGTGGGACTGGAGCGTAGAAGTTGTAGTTCTCATGTGGAACGGTAGGGGCTATCGTCAAGAAGAAGGGCTTTTCTTGAGATGCAAGGTACTCAAGCCTGTCTAAACTACAGGTTCATTAGTCGGAGTGAAGTGGAAGCGGATTTGAGAACTCACGATTGTGCCCGGACAATGTCTGTTTGGTGAAAACCCGGGTAGTGTCTTGGTCTCTCGCCATTCTCGGACATCACGATGTTGTTGAAGTCCATTGTGTAAGGGTCCGTCTTGTGACCATATTAGCCGTCTTTTTCAACCAGATGGACGATCTGTGCAACTCACTAGACTATTAATGAAGTCCCAGCCTTTCGGTGCCGGACTGTTATAGTTGACTGTGTTGTATCCATTGAGAAGTTTTCCGATGTCTGTCTCTTTAAATTAGCTAATTTCCTTGGTGAAGAGTCGCTCGGGTTGCCTCTCTCACATTCAACTCAGTATCCTGCCTTCTTCAGCCAGTGTGGCAGGTAGTCGTTGTCTTCGCCGGCCAGAGTCCATTTATCGTAACTACCCCTTCGCGAGATTTTAGCGTCGATAAGAATCAATATGCAGGTGTCTTGGAACTTACCCTGCACCACTGACATGTGTGATGTTGGTATTGTGGCTCTGCTGACCTCGCAACAGACCTGCACGGCTGGGACAGCATTGCGCTGTAGTGGTCCAGTGATTGGTAAACTCAGTTCCTTTGGAGATCAGCTCACGATGTAGAATGCTTTGAAAATCAGTTGAGCCAAGGCGGCAGTCCTGATCATCTGTCATAATGAATACGATATTGGGCTTTTTCGGCCTTAGTGATGCTGATGACACCAGGCTTGCTGCCAAGATGGCATGGACAAGGTGAGAAACCCGCATGGCTTCAAGTCACGAATGTATTGATCAAAGCCAGGTTTGAAGGTTCTGAGTCAATGGTACTACAGAAGGTGGAAAGGAAAGTGACGAAGGCCGTTCGGTCTCATCGACGCGTATTTAGACATCCGGTTTAGGTTTCGCAGGATCTCGCCGGCAATCGGCTGTTGTCATTCTTGCCACCCGTGCAAAATTGAACGATCGTTGTCAGTTCAACATCAATCATCATGCCCGTTCGTCCTGTCGGTTATCGGCCGGACAGCCAGGACAAGTTAGCTCAATGCAACAATCCCCGCGATGGCGATGTTGCACCCTCAAATTACCACATCACAGCAGCAGCAAGCCCATTTTTCTAGAAGAATCGAGGCATACTGTTGAGGCATGATTGGTTCTATCCATTCCGCCAACTGCCGTGGAGGATCCGGCGCAGCAATCATGGGAGTTGCCCTTGGCGGCGTACTGTCATGATCGACGGAGAGGACGCTAGCTTTTCTAACCATTTAAAGATCCTCTCCTTTACATTTCCGTGAGGTCTGTGGTGACAACTATCTGAACAATCCTAGCAGCTGATTTATTCGGTTTAATCTTACGCTCTCCACACTGAAGGATCGCCGTAAGGACTTCGCCCCGGCCTCACTAATGCCCGCTACCGCAAAAACGCTGAAGTCTGATTCTCTTTCCAACCCAAACCATAATTCGGCTTGAATGCGGGTGTGCGCGTTATCCCAACTCAGATGTGATTGTAGTATCCGTAGAGCTGCAGGTTTCGCACCGCATGAGGACTACCGCTTTATGCCACCGGCGCACATCGATTCGCGTTTCAGTATTCATAAAGCACTCCGAGTCTCTTGGTTAGCGATTGCTGACTTCGACTCTACCGACAAAATGTGCTCGTACCTGCTCACAGCTATGCAGGCGTTTCTTCGATTTCTTGGCGTTTTGAAGCCTCATAAGGTTTCTTCGGAACTATCCTTTATCTCATGAGTCGAGTCTTTGGCTCTTAGAGATGCTACTATCGCCTGTAGTCCGTCGACGGTATTGTTGTGCGAGCATGGAATACCTGCCTGCAGAAGAGTCAAGAAACGAAACTAATGTCAGGATCTGAGACTGTTTCCAGGCGCAAGCGGGCACGAATCACACTCGTGACGATACCCCGCTACGGAGATCATGTTTCATTCTCCAAATGCTCTCTTTATGGCCCAAGTCGGGGTGCCCTTGTAGGTACCCGATAGCGATTTGCGTGCTACCCGAATACTCGGCTCGGTGATAGCTGATGACTAGCATGTCCATGCAATAAGTCATATACATGCGAACATGCCTGCGCAAAGGGGCTCATAAGAATTATTACGCGAATGCTTTTCAGCGAGTGAAGGTGCCAAGCCGGGGAGTTAGCGCAACCCGACAGCTGATTCCAAGAGTCTGTCAACCCACAAGCGAGATGGGCCATGGAAAGATCCGAGTGGGATGAACAGGGGCCACTACCGATCTTGGGCGGAGCTCCGTCAGGTTGACAAAATCAATGAGGCTCAGCTTGTTGCGAACCGTGAAGTTGACTCGTGTTTTAGTATCCGTAGAAAATTGTGCTCACATTATGTCGAGTGCTGATGTCAACGATTGGCCCAGTTATGCGTAACCATCTCCGTTCGCTTTCGAAAACTTACGACGCCGACGCAGCGACTTCATGACGGCCGATGAAAATACAGCCCTTGCTGGCCTCAAATGCATCCGAAGCTGCCGGAGCTGTCAGTTTGTCACTAACCTTCCCCGCGGGTCACCGAATCCACGGTTTGTCCGACTTTTGACGAACACGTCTGCGCCGCCGCAACATGATCTACTGTCTGAAGATAATTAACTTGCAACATGGGACGGACATTGGGCTGCAAATAGCTCAGGATGTTCACATGAGAGATTTGAGGCTAACGGCTTCGTGGGGGCTGTTTTCTCCTTCGGCTGATATGTGAGGGATCATTTAAGCCGCGAATCATGCCTCAGCCGGTGGGATGTAGGTCTCTGTATTTGAGGGTGGGATGTGCGATAAACTTTCTGGAAACAATTTCTTCGTTACAGGAGAGAACTTTAAACTGCGCTTGTTCGTAAAGATGCGGGAGGAGTAGTCCGTTTTGGGGTTGGGAAGAGATTTTGGGGCGGACATATCCGTGAGAAAGAGTGGTAAATGGCATCCGTGCCGGCCGAGAGCAAGGTTGGTCCCTGGCCCCCAACTCCGGCTCAGGACCCTGAGTGGCCAACGCACACCAACGAACCGTCCGGACTTTCACTCATTCTCCATAGTCCGGGCAGCAAATCCCTTCCTACGCAGCCTTTTTACTACTTGAGCCTCCAGTATAGACTTTAAATTACAGCTACCGTTTGCGAGGTATTCGGCCAAGAACCCTTACTGAAGGATTTAGAGTGGCCCCCCTTTACCCCTGAGCTATGCCACCTTGGCCCGAAAGCTTGTCATGGACGTTCTCTATCGAGTTCTCCGCGTTGTGACTGAAACTCGTTTGATGATGGAAGGACTTACGAATCGGCATCTGATCATCATGCAGTTCATCAAAAGTATATAGCTAGGTCGTCCCGCCACATCAGATGGCTTTGGATTTGAAGCTTCTCATCCGCTCAAGCATTTTCTTGTCATTCATTCCTTCGTTTCTTGCAACCTGTTGACCAACTCAGCATCTGCATTCTTAAAAACAATTTGCCAAAATGGCTCTATCCATTCTTTCCGCTTCTCTTCTGCTCGCCAGCATCGTCGCCGGTCAGACGCCTGGTAATGCAACCGATAACCACCCCAAGCTTGAAACATTCCGCTGCACCGTTAAGGACGGATGCGTGAAGAAGACCAACTTCATCGTCGCCGACTCCAGCCAGCATCAAATCAACACCAAGGAGGGCGTCAGCTGCCTCACTGGTAACAACCCGCCCAACGTTACCGCCTGCCCCAACGCCGAGGATTGTGCGAAGAACTGCATCATCCAGGGCATCACCGACTATGCGGACAAGGGTGTCACGACCTCGGGCACTGACCTCCGCATGCAGATCCTCAAGGATGGCAGCAAGGTCTCTCCCCGCGTGTATCTGCTCGAGGAGAACAAGCAGCGCTACGAGATGCTGCATCTCACCGGCAACGAGTTCACTTTCGATGTCGACATGGTGAAGCTGCCTTGTGGCATGAACAGCGCGTTGTACCTCTCTGAGATGCTGCCCGATGGCGGCAAGAATACCAGCGTGCTGAACAAGGCCGGTCCCGCTTACGGCACTGGATACTGCGATGCCCAATGTTTCAAGACGTCCTTCATCAACGGAGTCGTAAGTACTTTGACTGCTGCGCACGGCTAGGGATCTCGACTAACACAGGTCTGCAGGGAAACATTGATGGCAAGGGCTCATGCTGCAATGAGCTCGACATCTGGGAGGCCAACTCCCGCGCTACTCACATTGCCCCTCACACTTGCAACAAGCCCGGTTTGTACCAGTGCACCGGCGACGAGTGCGAGAAGACCGGCGTCTGTGACAAGTCCGGCTGCTCATGGAACCCGTACAAGGTCGGTGGCAACGACACCACCTTTTACGGCAGGGGCGCCAACTTCAAGGTCGACACGACCAGGAAGTTCACCGTCGTCACCCAGTTCCCCGCCCAGGACGGAAAGCTCAAGGCACTCCACCGCTTGTACATCCAGGACGGCAAGGTCGTGAACAGCAACGTCGTCCAAATCGAGGGTCCCCCGAAGATCAACTTCATGAACGACGACTACTGCAAGGCTACTGGTGCCGACCAGTTCATGACTCTGGGTGGCATGACTGGTATGGGCGAGTCCATGACCCGCGGCATGGTCCTGGCCATGAGCATTTGGTGGGACGACGCGACTGCGATGGAGTGGCTCGATACCAAGGCAGCTGGTCCTTGCAACGCCACCGAGGGATTCCCCGACTCCATTGTCAAGGTTGAGCCCAACCCCGAGGTCACTTTCAGCAACATCCGCTTCGGCGAGATCAACTCTACCATGAACATGAGGTTGTAAATAGTATGTCTTTAGTTCAAGACTGTAAATATTAAAATATCGGTTGTTTATATACATCAAAATATCGTAACAGTCACGTCCACCTCTGTCACACGCAGCGATGATTTAAAGTTTTACTCTCTTATTTTCTCTGTGTCCGGTACACTGTATCTCTATCTCTCTATCGCAGCCGTGCTTGTGAACTCAGTGTCAACATCATGTGGAAACCTAGGACCGCATACTTGCCTCTTGCAGGGCCAAGGCGGACATTATCCGGATGAACATCGTCCTAGACTAACTTCCAACAATGAAAAGCTTTTCGCTCCCTTCATATCACGCAGTATCTTTTCTTTTTCCCGATCTCCCCATCAAACAGGATCTCTGAAGTCGTCGATCAAAGCCGCAGGCCCTCGTCAACTCCAAGCCCGCAGTCCCACAATTGCATGCCTGCATGCCTGCGTTGCAACATCGAACCAACGGAACCGAGTACGACCCTCTGTGCTAGCCCTCTTCAGGAAGCCAAGTCTGGTCTGAAGACTGCATATCCCCCGGGCTGCATGCAAGAGAAATTGTCCAGGAAGAGGCACAGTTGACAGTCGCACATTCCGCGAAATCTTTTGTCGACAAGAAGGGTCCAGGTAGCTGGGGTTTCATGCCGCTAAGTTGCATCGAGGAGATGCGTCTCTGCATGCCCAGCAGCGTGCAGAAAACAGCTCATTCGGAGTTAGCTGCGTCTCTTCCAAGGGTTGAGCCGACGAGCAGATCATGCAGTATGGGGTACGCGATTTTTTCTTAAGCTATGTGGCCCGATGACTTTGGGATTTTGTTGTTTAAATTACCTAGCAGCCCACAAATTTCAGACTTCCCCTTGATGCCGTCACTCATCCTTTGTTTACACGACTGAGCTGTGGCACTCTACCATTATTCAAGGCCTTGGATCTCTCCGCTTGTCTTCATGTCTGCACCAAGACCAGACACCATGCAACTCTGGGACTGCATCGTTGTGGGCGGGGGCATCGCCGGGTCTGTCGTCTCAAACCGACTCCTCCAGCAGGATCCCGCCCTCAAGATCTTGCTCATCGAGGCCGGCCCCGACACTCATGCCGTCGAGAACATTGAGTGGATTGACATGAGCAGCGCGATCGGCGGGGAGTATGATTGGGGCTTTTCATCGGTACCGCAGGTAAACCTCGAGAACAGAGAGATCGTGTCGCCCGTGGGGAAAGGCCTTGGGGGAGGCACGATCATCAACGGAGGTGAGCATAAGTGGAACAGTGTAGTTGTTGGCTGGGGCTGCTAACGTTTGTCCAGCTGCTTGGGCTCGCGGTCACAAGGTAGACTATAACATCTGGGCTGAGCGTGTTGGCGATGAGAGGTGGAGCTACGAGGGCCAGCTGCCGTACATGCGCAAGACTGAGACGCTCTTTGACAACTCGACAAACCCTCTGGCACATGGCCACTCCGGCCCCATCAAGATTCAGTCTCCCGGTTCTACCAACAGGGTGTTTCCCCTGCGTGATGCTCTGCTCGACTCCTGGAAAGAGCTTGGCGTCGATGCGCTCTCCCAGTTTGACAACAACGCGGGAAACAACCTGGGCGTCGCAGACCTGCAAGAAAACCGCGACAAGGGCAAGAGGCAGCTGGCTTCGCTAAGGTACTCTCTCGAAGGGGTTACCGTGCTAACAGACAGCCTTGTTGCCAAGGTCTTGGTCGAGAAATCGGCCGAGGGCGACCTCGTCTCCCGCGGCGTCCAACTCGCCAACGGAACACAGATTCTCGGCCGCGAGACCATCTTGGCCGCCGGCGCCTACCGCACGCCGCAAATCTTGATGTTATCCGGCATCGGCCCCGCCGAAACATTGAATAAGTTCGAGGTCCCGGTCCTCCTCGACCAGCCCGCAGTCGGCAAGAACTTCCACGACCATGTCCTGATCCCCACCGTCTGGCAGCTGAAGAACGCCTCCGCGGGCTACGCCAAGGAATCAGGCAACCCCATGTTCAACCAGTCACAGTACCCCCAGGGCGCCTTCATCGACTTCATGACCGTTGTCTCCCTTCCCAAAGACGGCCTCAAGGCCGCGATCGAGCAGGACGAGGGCCCCATCGCCGACCCCACAGCACACCCGCTGCTAAGCCAGGACAGAGCGCACTCCTCGCACCTGCTGCAGTACTCCGGGGTCTCGGCCGACGGGTGCGCCGTGCTGATGATCTCCGTCGTCCTCATCAACTCCGCCCGCGGCTCCGTCACGATCCAGTCCGCGGACATCGCCGACGCGCCGCTCATCGACCCCAACTTCCTGGGCACGGCCGTCGACCGCTACGCCGCGCGGGAGACGATCCGCCGCAACATCAAGCTGCTGACCTCGACCGAGACAGTGCTCGGGAGGGAGATCATCGCCGGCGAGCTGGCTGCCAGCCCATTGACGATGGAGTCGACGGACGAAGAGATTGACGCCCGCGTGCGGGAGATGGCAGGGTATGTTGTCAGCCCCTCTAGTGATTCGTGAAGCCGTGGTTTCGTTGCTAATTGGTTTGTAGTGGATGTTACCATCCGGCCGGGACTGCGTCGATGGGCGCAGTTGTGGATACAGACCTGCGTGTCATTGGGGTTTATGGCCTCCGAGTTGTTGATACTTCAGTCTTCCCGGTCTCTGTCTCGGCGAACTTGCAGGTCGCGACGTACGCCTTGGCGGAACAAGCAGCAGGCATCATCTTCTCTGCCATGAAAAAGTGACGGTCTAGGGGGCTTTCCAGGGTGTTCATGAAGGGACTCTCTGTCGACGTGTATTTGTAAAATCTGATCTGGCATAGGCTTGTCGGAGTTGCGAGCAAAGAAAGTTCACCTGTCAATGGTAACTGATAGAGGTTGCAGATGCAAGGGGTGTGCGCTCCAGTCAGGAAATACAGACATATCTACGCAAGAATGACTTGGCTCGTTCGCATAGTACTGGCATGACATATGACGGCATCCAGGGCAATGTTCGTCATAAGAGTCGGACTTTCCAGCGCCAGTTAGCTTGACAAGAGGCTGAAGTGCATAACTACGGACTTTGCAACCGACAGTCAGTCCGTCTCTGGGGCAAGTACAGCTACTATGGTCTCGGGAAGAGCAAAGATTAGCGCCTCAAGTGAGACAAAAGTCGCATGTACGACTTAATATACTGAACGAAGGGCATAGTAGTTACGTAGTTACTCCAAGATCTCCGGAAGGATATCCAGTCAGTCAAGACAAAAAGGAACTCAACAAAAGTTCCGTAGGGAAATTTATCAGAATGACATCGGGCGGTTAGGTAGAAGCCTAGCTACCGAGATGCGGCTGCACCTGCTCGTCCAGGGAGCCCGAAGACGCGATGGCCCCACCGCCATCAAGCGGTACAGCTGTCGCATTACGTTCTGATTGGTTCTGAAACTGTAAGTTCTCCGGGTTTGCTCGCACGGAGTAGTCCTGCGTCGTTAGGGAATCATCCAGCGGAAGGCACCTCACGAACATAAGACTATACAATCTCCTATTCTGCGGTTCCTGAGGAGTTCCCGATATTCATCTACCATGCTCTTTGAGCCTTAAATATGCTACACGACCTTCAGTCAAGCAAGAGACAAGGCCTGCAGATGGTGATCGTAGGATGGGATCCGGGGACTTAAGCGCCGTATACAAAAAGAGCCCGAGACCACGGGCGACATGAGACTGGTTCGAAATCATCAACATCTCGTTAAAGTCAGCGGAAAGCATAAACTCGTCTATTTCCACCTACACCTTCCCACTCATCGAAGCACAAAACAAAACTGAAGTTCACCGCCCTCGTCGTCGCCGCCACCTTTGCCCTCGTCAGCAGTGTTGCCGCAAAGGTACGTCTACCGCTTCCTCTCTCTCCCCCCATCGCGAATGACTCTCCGCGGCCGTCCAGGCTACGTCCTCGTCCATTAAAAAAACCGTCTAGTCGCGAGAATTGGAAAAATGTGATCCGACTTCCATGTGTTACAGTCATGCTGCTGCACCACCGTCAACACGGGCAGATGCGACTGCAACGAGGGGTACGATGAGAGCACCAACTGCGTCAGCATCTGCAACATCCGTGGCAGCAGCGTGTGCTGGATAGTTGGACAGACTCGGCCGCCACATCCATACAGCCTGAGGTACTAGATCAAACAAAAGTCAATATTCTCGTTTCATGTCAAAATAGAGGGCTTGCTTCCCCATATCACCTCGTCGGAGCTGTGGCCTGTTTCTAGGCGACATGACAGGACTAGTAGGAGAAGGGGAGCAAAGAAGAACGGGGAAAAAAAAAGAAGGCTTTAAAGGAGCATTGCTCGCAATGTCCTGCCAGAGCTTGTGGTAAAATCCTAAGACTGACGAAGAAAAGAAATCATCAAAACCGATTACTAGTGCATTACCCTTGTTAGTGGGACTTGTCTACGAGTATGTACGCGTTCTCACAGAATTTTGACAACGTTTTATTCAGCCCCGGGAGAACTAAAAAAGGCCCTAGACTCCCATGAGGCAGGTTGAATAAGCTGACGACTGGCGACGAAGAATGACGACAGCCGGAGGGGGGTCCCAAACAGACAATTGCGACGGCCTAAACAATGCAGCTGCTACGAGCAGACGGGACTATCTTCTAGGCTTGGCATACATGTGCGGCAGAGATATTTCCCAGACTTGCCTTCACCGGGAACCTCAAGATGGAGACCTCAAGTCATGCGGATTAACGAATAGAGATAGCCTCTATCAAAGGAGTTGGCCGTACCTCAATCAATTGGAAAAGGGAAAAAAGAATATTAATCAAGGTCCTCTTCAATCCCACGAAGGCAAGAACGGAAATCACCAAGGCATGTAGTCGGGCAAAACGTGGCAATTTTCAGACACGGTGGCCGACACTCCACGGCGCGCAGATCGCACGTCGTCAAACCAGATTAATAATTCACGCCCTCCCCGACCGGACCGGGCGGTTCGTGCGGGGGCAGCGGGTTTTACCTCAAACGGTGCACTCAGTGCCGCGCCTCGGGATATTTTGCCCTCCAGAGAGTTTTTTTTGTGCTAGCGGACCGGATAAGTCGACCGGGTCAGGTCTCAATCAAACCCAAACCCGCGCGAGCGGCGATCCCGCCCAGCCGCCCGCGTCGGGAATGCAGCAGCAAGAACAGACATCGGACGAGCAGTGCCCAGAAACAGCTCAAAGCCGACCACACCTGGGTCCCGAGTCCCGACAACGGAGGCGGGAGGCGCGCCAAGAGGAGCAATTAACATGCTCGACAATGCAAAGTGAGGGCGGTGGAGCTCCACGGCACAACGCTGGACAAGATGAAAACCTGAGAGAGCACTGATGGATGTGTGGAGCAGGCTATTAAAGAGCCTGGAGGAGGGGAAGGCGGCCGGGCATCCAGGCGGCTTCTCACCCATTTTTTTCGCCTTGAGCGCCGCTATCGGCCGCACATCCCACACACCGGCGGCGGCCGTCTACAACCGGAAGGAGACGACGAGGGGACAGTGAGCGTCGGAGGAGCGCGAAGCGCGCTCCCGCTCTGCCGTTGATGGCGGGACGGGTGATCACCTTGACCAAACTTTCCTAAAGTCCGGGGAAACCAGCTAATGGTGATCATAGAAATGTTCAGGTCCTAGCGGTCGTGGTGTTTGGTAACAGAAGCTGAAGCCTAAGCCTTCCACAGACTTGAACGATCAATTCACCCCGCAAACATCAAGACTGACTGCCTGGGGAAGACTCGAGTCGAGGGCAGACAAGACGTCCCTCCCCGGCGTCGAGTTACCTTGTATGGCAGGTAAAGCTGGGGGTGCTCCAGGGCGTAGTCGACCCCCGGCGCATCTGATGCAATGCGATGCACGACCACTGGGACCCAGGTTGCCTTTCCTCCGTGGGGGGCGTTAGGTATGGATGGTTCGGGCGGGAAACGGACATCTCGTTAAAGGGATACGACGTCTTTCCTTGGCCTCGCGAGATCCGGGTCTCCGCCGTGCTGTGTCGTTCTGCAGTTTGCTGCTTGGTTCTGCTGCATATGCTATCATCGCTCGCCAGAGGACACATAATTGGTCACAGGCTGCCAGCAGAAGTCAAGCCCATTGACGACCACACCCTCTCCGCCCCCCGGGGCGTTCGATGTGCCGCCGCGGGGTTGGACGGGCAGCAGCCATCCCAGACAGAATTTTGTTTTCTCGGGCGCGGCTGCGCAGAAGGTTCAGGCGCCAATGGAAGCCTCCGGTCTCCGGTAGCCCGCAGAATCGTTCGATGCAGGCTGCACTTCTCAGTCGAGTTTTCTGTGTCTCGGGGGGAAAAGAAGAAGGAAGATGGTGGGTGGCAGGGATCGGGGCGCCAGCGCCGTGAATACCGCGGAAAGGCTTGTTTCTGCTTTGGGTGTGCTGCCTATGGTTGTCCTGCGTGGCCGTGTCTTCTGCTTTTTCTCCTGATGGAGTATTCCCGAACCACCGACAGGTTGTCAGATTCCTCCTCCCTGAATGGTGGTTGTTGTCGCGCCCGCTGTAGACCGCCGGACGCCGTGGCAGATTGAAGCTAATCCGGCTGACATATCACAAAAAAAGCGTCACATCAAGCACAAAAGTCTGGGGAAACCATGGGCGCGGGTGGAGGGTGAAGGGGTGATGTAGGGGGTCGCTGCACAGGCAAGGTTTGTACGGAACGCTCGTGCGAGAGGAAAGGTTGGATGAATCTCTTGGCTCGAATTATGATTTTTCTTGGGTGGACGAGCTGTGTGCAATTGGAGCGGTTTATTTGGACGGGACCAGGGGTGTTGGATGCTTTGGTGCAACAGAAGTCTGTTCGGGTGCCGGTGCTTGCGACACAGGCTCTGTTGAGCTGTTGAGGAGGTGTAGCGGGAGCATGTTGAAAGGCGCGGACCGAGAGGAGGAACCAGCAACCACCGGGGACAAAACGAGTTGAGACGGGTGTGTGTGGTTCGTCTTTGCTGTTTTTGCAACTTGCAAAAAGCCTGGGAGACACTCTCCGAGGAGTGGCTCTCACGTTCTCTCGGTATGGATGCGAGATGACTGGAGTCGGAGGTTCTGGACGGGAGACTGGGGTGGAGAACGGTGCAAATTAGCGTTTTGGGGTTCGGGAAATCGAACGATTCGGAGCCATGACGTGGGAGGGTAGAGATAAGGCGCAATTCACGTGTAAAATAGTTATTTGTCCCGCCATTGGGGAGCTGCGTTGTTACTGGTCGCTTTTTTCTTCCTCGCGGTGTTGCATGGATGTCTGTGAGAGAGCGGAGCTTTTTGCTGGACGTGGAGGGGAGCCGGCGGCGGAGCACACGGACAGAGACGAGCAGACAAGGGCCAGCGGCGGAGGGGCACCACTGGAGGTTTTGGAGAGGTGGTGACGAATTGTGGACGATTATTGCAGGCGTCCAGTATCCTTCAATGTTGTGGACTGGTTCACAGGTGGTGGCCGAACGCGTGGGATATCCAGGTCCCAACCCCCGGCGGCTGCAGTGTTAGGGCTGTGGGCTCCTCGGGGGGCACTGCAGTAGCGACAGCTCGACTCCCTGTCGGCCAGCCGCGAATCTGCCCGTGCAAGCTTTGGATGTCGTGTCTGAGAATGGCGCGGTTTTCCTTTCCTCGGAGGGGAGCACATAGGCTACGGCAGCCGTTTCTGGAGTTTGGGTTGTAGGTGGTGGTTGTGGGGGACCCCTGAAACTGGGACGATCAAGCCGACCGCACGAGTTTGATAGCGGACCTGCCCTGTTGGAAATGGATGTTTGTAAGACATTCCACGGGGCCGAAGGTCGGGGAACTCGATGTTTGCCTGTTTTGGCTGTTGCCGATGGAGGAGCAGCATCGGGATGCAACGAGAGGAGGAAGATGACCATTGAGTTGTTGCGTGTTAGAGCTCCGCGTCGTCATACCTCACACACAACCCCGGACGGCCATCTGCAACCGAACCGAACCCTGTGGCCCTCGGGTGGTTCTCGGGGCTTGAGGTTCAATTGAGGGCGGCCAAGACGACGGGAATCATGTTCCTGCTGGGTGGTGTTGGGTGCTGTGTGTTGTGTGTGTGCACCACGGATTCGACGCCCGAGGTTCGGGTTTCGGTCACTTTTGTGATTTGTTTGGCTGACCTTCCTTGCTGAAGTGCAGCGAGCAGCAGGCTTCAGTGCTAAGACTTGACAGTGACACTCGGGAAAGGCCAGCAAGCAGCACGCAGCAGGGACCGGCTTGGACGTATCTATCTGCAGGCTGCAAGCACATCAGCGAGCGAGCGACATGCCCCCGGTCCCTCCACATTGCTAGGTGCCTGCCTACCTTACCTACCTAGGTGGTGTAGGTCCCCTCCTGGCAGCAGCGGTGCAGCCTGCCAAACCCAAGCCCAAGCCCAGCTCCCCCCTGCCACCCTGCCACCCTGCCACCTGCCCGTGCGACAGCCCACTAAACGTGCGCAATGTCCACCGTCCACTCCGGTTTAGCGGTCGACACACGCGCCAGGCGCCGCACCACCTGCAAAACCTTCGGCACCCAACCCACCACGCCGTTGCAATTGACGAATTTCGGACCAAGGACAAAAAATCAGAGGGGAGGAGAGGAGAGGAGAGGGGAGGGGAGGGGGAAAAAGAGGGAAAGTGGCCGCCGGCACGGTACCACACCACCGCAGGCACATCTCACGCACATGGGCCGGCCCATGGACCCAGGACCCAAGGCAGGCAGGCACAGGCACGGTCTCTCGGCTCGACACACCTTGCTTCTGAGAGCGAAAGAGAAAAAAAATTAAATAAGAACAGCCCGCCGTCCCGACCTCGCCCGCGCCTGGCTCTCCTCTCCTCCCTCAACCACCACCGTTCACCCAAACCCTGAGATAAATCTCCCACCCGCTCTCCTCCCTGCTGATAAAGCGACGAAGCCTCCTCGTGCATTCACCCAACAGTTACAGATAACAAAACACCAAACAACCCATTCCCACCAAGCTTCCCAGCACAAGTCGCCCGGCGCCACACATAGCTTTATCACCAAGGAGGAGAGTCGACGGACCACCTACGTACACATACACACGCAACTACCGACAAGCTTCGGACCTTCTTATTCTTCACCACACACTTTTCGTAAAACCGCAAAAATGTTCGCGACCAGAGTCCTCCGCCAGGCTGCCGCCCACGCCGAGCGCACCCCCAGCATCCGCTTCCTCGGCCGCCGCACCATTCCCTGTACGTCCACCTACCTCTCTGCTGCCTCGTGATCAAGAAAACTAACAAACCACCAAACAGCCTCAGTCGACCACACCCCCGCCCCTCACCCGGCCTCGCCCACCGGTACCCTTCCCCCCAACTTCGGCAACGGCTCCGCCCCGGCCAGACACACCTCCTTCAGCTCCTACCGCGACCACGCCCAGCAGCACGGCCCCCTCCAGCGCTCCATCCGCAACGGCGAGACCGGCATCGGTGGCACCTCCGGCCACGAGATGGGCTCCGTCATGCCCGCCTCCGGCATCTTCTTCGACCGCTCCGAGCTCCCCGCCCGCTTCCGCCGCCAGCCCCTCGACATGGCCGAGATCGAGGCCGTCGAGTCCGGCGGCGCTGCCCTCTTTGGTTGAGATACTACCAGAGATGAATATCGCTTGAAAACGTAAATCACAAAAACCGAAACTAAAATTGCGTGTGCTTTTTATGGATATGAGCGACAGACGGGGCGATACCAAGGACGAGCACCCAAAACTTCAGGCGGCACGCGTGTACGAAAGACGAGGAAAAGACTACATGGTACCCAAGCTGTTTGTCCCTTGGAAACGGGGGATGCCCTCGGCTGGGGTACGGAAGCCTCGGCAGTCATGTAATGTGACGACGCCAATCGGGGCTCAGGAACGAAAAATGGATGGCGGCGGCGCACACCCGCCGCGACTGGTTGCGATACACCAAGAGTGTTGCGTTGGCGGGAGACCACCACGACGCCTGGTGCGGACTCGGGAGTTACTTGACACCTACGAACGGGAGACAATGCTTGTCTACCCGGAGCAAGTTGGCCTACTATTTTCCTTTTAACGTCTACTACATGGGCAGAGCACGCTCTGTACCGATAAGTCTAGCTCGTCGCCAATCCCGCGTACATAGCACCCCCAAAAACAACTGAAAAGTTCTACCTCACCTCTTTGGCATTATCATATGTGGCTCGCGTGCACAATACACTTCGGCTGCATGTGCCTCCCAACGCTCGTGGATATCTCGGAGGTTCAAGTCCCAATGCAACCTCCGGCACAGCGAGCCAATGCCAAAGCTCCGAAATGCTGTCACCCCCCTTTGCTTTCCCCAGAGCGCGCATGTGATGTTTCGCACCCGTCTGCAGCTAGACGCTACCGTCCGTAGCTCCGGGACTGCGTGGTGCTGGTCCAGCGGACGCGCGACAGCTCATGCTAGCTGTTCAAACACGCCAATTTCATCCGATCGTGCCATGTGCTTTGCTTTTGCTCCCCCCACCTCTGAATCGCTTCCGTCATTTCCCGACGTAGCCGACTTGGAGGAAGCCGACCAGCCACAGATGCTGACTGCGATAAGCGGTGGTCTGTGCGTGAATCAGCCACAGCGTGGCGGTGGATGGAGAAGGAGCTGCGGGGAGAGACGAGAGGGAAAAGGTGCGAGGGTCCCGGCGTGGCCGGGAGTTTAGCGTTTGGTAGGCATGAGAGGGTACAGTGTTCCCATTTCCAGTGAACCATGGGGAGGATCGGTCAATTTATATAAGTTGGACTGCAAAAGTCAGATGTGGTTCATGGACTGCGTGAAGGGGGTTCGTGGCGGCGGTGCTGAAGTTTATCCCTTGTTCCGTATCCTATTGAGGTTTACTTTTGGAGCAGCTCGACTCTCAAATCCATGAGGTGTTCCCGGGGCTGCAGGTTTCCCATCCAATGATATTATACACACGCACAACTGCGTCCGAACTGCACGGGCACGTTGAATGCCCAGTGCATCGGACTCACCACATTCAACGGGCTATGGGTAAAGCACACGTTCAACTCATTTATCAATCTCAACATTTGTGTTGGCTGCGAATTGTAGCTTGATTAATGTCTTTCATCTTATTTTAGCTATTATGGTATAAAAGTTATGCCCAGCGGGCCCATGATCAGCTTTTTTTTTTTTTTTGGTTTTTTTTTTCTTTGTCTTTATTTCCCTTCTTTTTGGTTTTATTCTCTCTTTTTTCTTACATGGAGGAGTACGTATAGCACAGAGGACCAGATAGTGTGTCCATGTAGTCCCGCACGAGGAGATCCGTCTCGGCGAGCTCCAGCACAGGCATGCTGTCCGTGATGGCGGCCGGGTAGATCTTGTCCGTGTCCTGGAAGCCGGTGTAGTCGGCCAGACGGGTATCATTTCGGCCTTGCCACTGTTCATTGGGTGTCAGCAACTCATTCACACTTGGATTGGTGACTTCGACGAGAACCAACCTTTGCCCAGACACGGTCGACATTAGCGTGGTGTAGGAAGAAAAGAGGCTCGTTGGGCGAGGTGGCCGGGCCCATGTCGCCATAGATGATGCTGTGAACTGCACTCCTCTTAGCATCCCCCCTCCACTCTTTCGAACGAGACGGCAAAACTCACCCTGCGCGTGCGGCAGGCCCTCCAGCATAGTCACCATATCCCCAAATCCCTCAAATGCATATATCGTATTCATGACATTCGAATCAAACGCGCCCGCCTGCATGTCCCCGATGATCGTCACACCGTTCTCGTCCGCCCCGTCGCCGCTGTTAAACTCGCGCGTCAGGCAGTGCAGCCTGTTCCCCGGCTCCCCGACATCCGGCCAGCCCATGCTCAGCGTCAAATTCGTGTTGGCAAACGGGCCGTCTACCACACATCTCTGGAACCCCGGCACGTCGCTCCCCGTGAACTGGCCGTTGCCCCCGAACCCGGTCTCGGCGTCGAAGAGCGGCGAGCTGGGCACCGCCCGCGCGTCCGCGTCGATGGTCCAGTCCCAGTAGGGCTGCACGCCGGTGTAGTTGCACTCGTTCCGCAAAAGATCCTCGTGGAGCTGGACGAACCAGCGGTGCCAGGGGAGGAAGTTGGCGACGAAGTGGATGCGCGATTGGAGCGCCCAGTGGGTGAAGGTGAGGTCGTCCATGCGGGTGACGACGGCTTCGTAGGCGGCGTATTTCTGGTGCGGGAGGGAGCGCAGGCAGACTGCCGCGCGGAGGTAGTCGGCTTTCTCGGCCGGGGCGAGTTCGCGCCATTCTTTGCGGACGGCGGGGGTTGTGCAGGGCTCGGCGCGGGGGAGGGCGGCGGCGGAGACGGAGGTTGTGGCCGCGAGGAGGGCGGCGAGGAGTGGGGTGAGATGCATTATGAGACGGTCGAAACGAGTGACGATGGGTTGGTGGAGAGTGACGGCTCAAGAGAATGCGGTAACGAGTGTAGGGCGGGATGGGGAAGGACTCTTCATCGTGATGATGGGCTTTCCTTTATGTTTACTATGCGGTGTAGATCTTCGGTCTCCAGACGGAGCTCCCCAAAGCCTCATTTCTCCATAGTTCGGCATCGCCAGGGCTCATTAGCGTCGGCATGATCGACGACAGGAAAGAAAAAGTCTTTCTCCAGTCATGTTCCATCGCCTTTCCCCGGTTGCTCCTTTCGTATTGCAGTCTGTTGTTCATCCACAATTACAAGAGTTTGGGGTAAGCCGGTTAGCGTTGAAATTGGCCGTGGAAAACTTTGAAAGTCGAATTTTGGGGGGACCGCTCGTTGAACCGTGTTGTGTGTTGTTGGCGGGCGTGGCCGTGTTTACGAGTCGCCGCTCTCTCTCCTTGGGTCTCGCGAATTGACGACGAGTTTAAACAGCATGCCTCATGCTTGTGACTATGTCCCACTCGAGGCGGGGCAAACCGACGGGAGGTAGGTTTTGGTAAGGAGGCAAAAGTATGTTGTTATTAATAGGGCATGCGACTGCTTCGGAACTGTGTCCCGCCTGCACTTGCTCATTCTAGGATTATACTAGTAGCCGCACGAACCCCAGATAAGGGGATGAAGTTGGTTGCAAGGTCTGTCCTCACATCATCTCAGTGCCTTTGGTCGGTGAACTAGTCGAATCTTGATGGTTTTATGATGCTCAAGTCATCACAATGCGTCAACATCATACCTCGTGGTTACAAGGCTTTTTCCTTGTCTCCCTAGAGTAAGGGGAAACCTTCGGTAATCAAAAGATTCAAGTCGTTCGTTGCAAGTTTCATGATCTCTACAACTCCAGTGATTCTTAACTAATGGACAAAAAGGTCATCTCACTTTTCTGAGATATACATGCCAGAGTGATTGGGCTAAGGCACTGTTGTTGCGTTCATGGCCTTAACCTCCTGCGTCGGAACTTGTTGTTTCATCTGGCACCGGAAGAGATTTCGTGCCAAAAGCGCATACAATTGTGAGCTCTTCTATGAGAATCTGTTCTTGCAGGGCTTTTGTGGCGTTGGCGTCCACAGTCATGCTGTCTATTTTGCTGCTCAACTAGCTCTTGTTCTGTTCACATTGAGCGACGCTTTTTCACTTGACACCATAAGCTTCATGTTCATATGATCATCACATGTGACCAGACATAAAGAAATTCAGCCCAAAGAATGGGCGTTTAATCTTTCCATGGGCCCATGTGTTTGAAAACGATTGTAGGAAGGCTGCAACTCCGAACCATGACTGGAAAAATAGCCGGTTCGTTTCGCTCTGGATTGATTCTTACAATGACCTGATATCGCCAACCAGTGGGGTTTAAGACTGCTAGAAAGTGCGAATTCATTCGTGAAGAAATCAGAGGGGAAAGCCAGAAAGAACAGACGTGAAACCAAGCAGTAAAGCTGGTGACCGAACCACGTCCGGACCAGCTTCGACTCTAGACTCGAAGGAATCCATGTTTACGTAATATCACTATTGCATGTGTTTATAAACGCTGAATAAGTATTCAATGCTCAGACTTAAGATACGTTTACAGATTTCAGATACATGGTAATATTCCAGCTATTGATTCAATTACTCAAATTCACAAGGATTATTTCGTCATAGGTGCTTGCGAAGTGACGCCCGACATGGGCTTGTGATTCTTGACCAATCACACGAACCCAATCACATCATCCAAGAAAAAAAAGGGACCCACCAAAAAAGTTGAAGCAAAATCCAACTGTCATCACATCCCAAGCTCCCGGCTCCGTTGCGCCAGCGCAATTCATGCGGCATAACCACCCCGCAAACAAACAAACAAAACCACGCCACGACCGATTGAAGGCCGCCGACCGGATCATCTTTAAGTAGACAGCACCCGCCCGCCACCGATCTCCTCCCCTCTACTCTAGGTAAGCATCATCGCCCCCCCTCCATCCTCAACCATGTCCACCGCAACCACAGACCTCCCAGACCTCATCCTCCTAACGCAGCCCGCACAGCCGCCTCCCGCCAGAATGGCAGACCCAAAGGACGCCGAGACGTGTCCCGTCGACCACAAGGCCCGCGAAGCCTGGCTCCAACACGCCCGCGCCGCGGCCCCGAACGACGCCGCCACCCCTCCCGCCCCGCCGCATCCGATCCCGAGCCAGACCCCGCCGCCGTCGCAGTCGTGGACGCAGTCCCTCCTCTCCTACACGCCCTTCTCCGGCACATCATCACCAACGACGGCGGCGGGAGCAGGCGCAGACGCGTGCCCCGTGGACCATAAATCCCGCGAAGCCTGGCTCCAACAAGCCCGCGCCGCCAACGCCGCCGCCGCACCCCACCCCCACGAACCACCACACGCCCTCCCTTCCCAAGCGCAACAGCCCTCGCCCTCGACGACATCCTGGACGCAAACACTTCGCTCCTACGTCCCCTTCACCTCTTCGCCATCCCTCCCTCCCGCTCAACCATCACCGACAGGGAAATCTCCCCTGGACACCTACCGCGAAGTCTCCACGATCCCGCGCACCTCGACCTCGAGCTATCCCTACGACGCCCCCACCCCCGCTTCCGCAGCGCCGACGACGTTACAAAGCAGCCACGGCGCACCGTCAAACAACGAGCAGGAGACAGGCGCGGACGCCGCGACGGGGAACTGGGTGTACCCCTCGGAAAAGATGTTCTTCGAGGCCATGAAGCGCAAGGGGCACGACACGCGCGCCGCAGACATGCGCACCGTCGTGCCGATCCACAACGCCGTCAACGAGCGGGCGTGGAAGGAGATTAAAGAGTGGGAGGCGCCGTATACGCAGGGGACCGCGTGAGTGCCACCAGCCCGGAGGAGATAACAAACTCGGGGGTGTGAGATTGCTGACGAAAGAATAACACAGCTGCGACGGCCCGCGCCTGCACTCCTTCGCCGGCCTCAGCACAAACATGTCCCCCAAGGCGCGGCTCAACACGCTGCTGGGCTACCAGGCGCCGTTCGACCGGCACGACTGGGTGATTGACCGGTGCGGCGTGCAGGTGGATTATGTGATTGACTTTTATGCGGGGCGGCCTGACGCGCAGGGCAAGCCGAGCTTTTACCTGGACGTACGGCCGAAGCTGAATAGCTGGGAGGGTGTGAAGATGAGGGCGCTGAGGGGGGCGGGTTTGGCGTAGGGAAGGGAGAAAAGTAATTCATCGAGGAGTGCTTGCATGGCGTGCGGATGTATTGATAGCGGGGGTGTGCTGATATTGTACTTGTAATAGACGTAGATGCCTTGGGGGCATGGTCTTCCCACTCAGACACTGTACAAAATATTCCCGGGATAGGAGGTATCATGAGAGATAATATGTGGAGGATCACGAAGAGGTCAGCCTCGAGAAGGTGTGGCCAACGGGCTTGCACATTCCAATATCTTTGAGATGCCAGGGGAAGGAGGTGGAGGGGCACCTGCCTCCAGACTGAGACCTACCTTCATCAAGAACTTAGGGTTCCTTCCTCTCCTGCCATTCCGGCTAGGTGGTCGAGGGTGGGTGGTACGATGAATAGTGTGTGTATGAAGTTTCCGCCGCTTGTCACCTTACGCATCGTTTGACCCGCGCTCTAGTCACTTTTTTTTTGGTCCTTTTGCGTCTCTTCTCATCTGAGCGGCCACATATGGCAGGAATGGAGGTCCTGGGTGCTCCTTCCTGCAAGTGACATCTGCACCCCTTGGCCAGGGAAGGAGTAACCTGGGAGGCAAGCCTGAGTCTATAACATGTGTGAAAGAGCCACTTTATAGGCTTTGTTAGTAAACCAATTGATGTCTGTTTCTGAGCATCATGGCATATCATCAAAGGGCAATGAGGAATAGCGAACAATGCCTCTCAGACTTTATTGGTATCTCGTGGTGCAAGTGATTGAGCAAACATTATCTTTCGTCCTCATGCCATTCCTGAACGCCAGATCCCTGATTCTTTGAATGATCTTCACCCCTCAAGGTACACTCCATGCAATATGAGCCATGTCTACAGATCCTTCTTGCCGTCAACGTCTTCACTCGGGTGCAACATCCACGCAGCAGAAGTATCCAGGCTGACGTCGCCCTGAACCCAGCCCGCGCGAGCCAGATGAGAAGGGTTGACGAAATTGTGCTTTCTAAAGTAGTCCTTTTCCGACTGGTTGTCAGGCATCATGGAGTGGACCAGAGCTACCGCTGAAAACCAGGCATCAAGGGTAGTGGTGTTGATGCCCTCTGACAAAGGGTGTCCAAAGAGAAGGATCTTGATGACTACCAGGCCGGAGGTGTTACACTGGCAGAGCTTGTACTGCTTGGTCTCAGCGAGGACGACGGCTCCGTGGCCCATGGCATCAGCATAGCTCTTGGCGAAGGCAATCTTGGCAAAGGGGCGGCCGTTGTGGTAGATGATGGGCTTCCAGAAAATGATGCTCTCCCTCTTCGCGACCTCAGCAGGCGTCAGCCTAACCTCACCCTCGGTCTTCATGTACTCCTCGAAGAAAATGGTAGCGCGCTGCTGGTTGAAGTTGTTAAGCTGAACGCAGCGAACGCCAAGGTAATTCATGCCGAGATGGACGAAGACGAGAATGATCATCAGCGCAAAGACGGCCTCTCTGCTCTCCACGTGGCGCACGACAAAGCTGCCGACGATCAATCCGATCAGCCCAACGGCCGTCTCCTGCGACGACTCCTTGGCGTTGAGCTCGCTAAGGTTGCCGCGGAGCGCAAAGTGCTTCGACAGCGCGGCCTTGCTCGCCCCTGCGGCGACGCCGCACATAGCGCGCAGGGCCTCGGCGACGACGAGCGCAGCAACCTGGGTCCACGATCCGAAGAGCGGGGAGAAGAGGTCGAGGAAGAAGGCGCTGTCGTTGAAGATATCAGCGAGAAAGCGGTACTTCTTGCACTCGGGCTCGATGACGAGGCCGAAGCGGTAGGCGAAGCCGATGGTGGCGAGGCGGGAGATACCGTCCTTGAGGATGGTCAGGAGGAGGGCGTAGGTGGCGGAGGAGTCTGCGTCGCCGACGCCGAGGCCCTGGAGGATCGCGCGGTTGGCGAGAAGCGAAGTGATGGTGGAGAAGAAGGCCTGGAGGGAGTCGTAGAGCTGGTAGCCCAAGTAGTCTTTGGAGACGGAATCGGGGTAGCCGATGGGGAAGAAGGCGTCGGAGAAGACTTGGCGAATGTTCATTGTCAAGAGACGCGAGACTGTGGTGGGAGCATTCTCGGTGGGCATCTATGTGGCTTGTTAGGATGTGAAGGTGAGTTGGGGCAGGGCCAGATTTACCTCGGTGAGTCGACCGTCGGAGTCGTGAAGCCAGCGACGACGAATGAGGCCGGAGGAGTCTCGCTCGTCAATTACGATCGCCTTAGGCTCCTTGGACGACGCCATCTTTCTTGTCGCCCTCGATTTCGCGGGTGTTGCGAAAAGGTTGTGTTGTGACGATGGACGGTGAGATGTGTTTTGGAGGAGGCAGAAGGTGAGGTGGGGTCGGTCGAAGGACGAAGGGTGAAGGCCAGGGAGAGAAGGTGCGACTGCAGATTCACACAAGGCAGCCACGACTCAAACGGCACATCATAGCAGAAAACAAGAAAATTGAAGCGCGAAACTCGACAGGTGGTTTTATTATACGAATTGTTCTATATGTGTGGCTTTTTGCAGTGACTATTACTCAATTGAAATTTCAACCTTGCTCTCGCCTACGGCTTAGCGGGCTGGCCATTCTCGCCAACAAGGTAAATGTCCGACTTGATAGGACCCTCGCCAACACCGGTCTGAATGACACGGCTGACGCCGCCCTTGATGATGCCAGCGACGGTCTCATCCAGAGTCACGGTCGACTGCAGGCTGCTGGCGCCATCCTTCCAGCCGGTCACGGCGCTCAGGACGGGGGTGAACGCGCCGACGACGGTGGCGGCGTTCTCCTCGAGGTAGTAGATGACGGCGTTCGGGCCGGCGTCGAAGGTGTACGCGGCGACGGTCTTTCCGGCAGCGGCGTTGATCTGCTCGACGGCGCGGATGGCGGCGCGGGAGACGTCGTTCATGTAGAAGATGGGCGGGTAGGTGTCGGAGCACGAGGAGTGGAACGAGTTGGAGTCCTTCATGGTGACCTCGGCGAACTGGGCAAAGTCGCGGCGGGCGATGGCGTCCTCCATCTCGGCCATGTGCTTGGGCACGACCTCGGCGACGCGCTGCTTGAACAGGCCCGACGTGGCGACGGTCTGCTGCATGCCCGAGGTGGACGAGACGCCCTTCTTGGCGGCGCTGACGACGAGGATGAGCGCGCGCATCTCGGGCCAGTGGGAGGCCTCAGCAACGAGGTCGGCCTTGGAGTCGGAGCCGTCGGCCTGGTCGCCCATGCGCCACGCGACGTAGCCGCCGAACAGACTGCGGCAGGCGGAGCCGGAGCCCTGGCGGGCGACGAGGGACAGCTCGGAGGGGGAGTCGGGCAGCTCATAGAGGTCGGCGATGGCGCGGACAAGGGCGGCGAAACCGGCGGCGGAGGAGGCCAGACCGGCGGCGGTGGGGAAGTTGTTCTCGGTGACGATTTTCAGGGGGTAGGTTGAGAGCTTGGGGAGGGAGGGGTTCTGGGCCTCGAGGGCGGCGCGGCGGGCGCGCAGCTCGCGGAAGCAGGCCTGGGTGCGGGCGCCCGAGACATCGGAGGATTCGCCGTTGAGGATGAGGGAGTCGCCGTCGGTGTAGGTGGCGGAGCAGGAGGCGGTCGTGAGGGTTCGCAGGTCGGCCTGGGAGAGGGTGACGGAGAGGGAGCTGTTGGTGGGGAGGTTGAGCTTGGCGTCGCGCTTGCCCCAGTACCTGTGGATGATTAGCGAGTGTCGCGGAGAGAGTGAGGTTGGAGATGTGCGTACTTGACGACGGCGATGTTGACGGGCGCCGTGGTGCTGGCGCGGTAGACCTTGGTGTCGGCCATTGTTGCGATGGTGTTTGCGGGCTGGAGGCGGTCAGAAATGGTCGAGGCGGGGCAGCAAACACGGTGAGGGGCTCGCCGGATTGAAGAAAAAAGGGGAGTTGGTTGGGGGAGACGAACCGTCGGACTTGAAGTACTTGTAGCAAACTGGACGTGTTCAGCTCTGCCGCGGCGCAATGGGTATCAATCGTCGAAAGGGCAAACAGGAACTGGGATGAAGACGGACGAAGCCCAAGGCCCGTGTGTGGCCGGCACCTCGCTGAGCAGCTCTGCAACCCGCTTGGCGGGGTTCGTGAAGTTCCCTTCAGCAAACAGAAGTCCTCTCAATTTGGCTTGACATGCGATCCTTGCCCGAACAGGACTAGTGCGGGGTCCCGTCAGGGGGATAAGCACTGCGACCCCTGGGGTCCGTGGGCTCGAGCTAACCCGCCAGGGTAGGACCGTTTGTGTTTGGCGGGAACGGCGGCCGAGACAAAGGCACAACTGCTGAATTCCATCGTCTTGAAGGGTTGGACAGAAGAGACTACCCTGTCCGAGTGTCTTCGTTAATGACGGCGACTCTCGAAATTGTATCATTCTAGCTCATCGTATCACACATCTCACGATCAAGGTCAGTAACAATAATCACATGGCATAGAAGACTCAAATATTGGTTTTGGACAAATGTATTGGAACAGTTTATGTAAGCAATACGGAGCAAGTTGCGAGTTGAAGTTGTAAGTTATGAGTTGAAGCTCCAAGTTGTCCAAGCATATCCTCCACATCACATGAACCACCTTGGATCCACCACTTTGATCCCATCTAACCATCGTCATCCATCATTAACCTCCTCATCATCATCATCATCCATCATCATCATCATCACCATTCATCATGCTGGGACGTCACGAGACACAGGCTCGGCAGATAACGGGGCCTGGAGTCCTTTTGCTCAACAGGTCGCGGCAAAGACGTCCCAGCTCCTCATTTCCATTCGCTCAGGCCGAGATTTCACGAGACACGGGCTCGGCAGGCTACGAGACATCCAGACCTTGTTTTCCTGGAGGCCGCTGCAAAGATATCTCGACCACTGTTTATTTTTCCGTGTTGTTTTTTGTTGTTGGGCGCTCCTCAATGTGGTTTCCGCAGGTTGTTGCAAAGTGTCCCAGCCACTGTTCCGTCCTTTTTTTTTTTTCTCTCTTTTAGTTTTTTTTTTTTTTTTTTTTTTTTTTTTTTTTTTTTTTTTTTGNTTTTTTTTTTTTTTTTTTTTTTTTTTTTT